CTTACCAAAGTAGCAAACATGCAAACTCCAGCACACTGTCAATTGGTGGGCGATTCTTGTGCTCGTGTGACGATTTTCTAGAGCTTTTTTTTTTTTGAATGTGCTAAGTCAGGCAGATCGAACGCTTCCCCATCAATATAATAATAAATTCTCAGTACAAAACAAAAATTAAACGAGCGGCTGAGGGCCGTGAAGCATTTTTATGACAACACGGAGAAACCACTGGACGAAGGAAGGACGAGGCACTGTCCTGGTGACGAGAGAAGGTAAAGTACAATTGAGAAGACGTATGGCTGAAGACCAACAGAAGTCACAAAGCAGTGGGAAGGAAAACGACCGAACATCATCCAAAGACGTGACGCATGCGTGCAGTGCCTACGGTGATACAAGCAGTGACATATTGCTGATTAATTTAAGGATCTTGGCTAGTTGAGTCCGGCTGCGCAAGTCACCCTTAACATCGATACTCCACAGCTTGGGCGGCTTGTGTGATTTTAGGAAATAAAAGTTTTACAGTGCTTCCCTCCAATAACAGTAATCAAAAGTATGCCGCAAAAATTCTAGAACTACAGAGCATCCTTGCCATACTGATGATTCTAGAGAACATTTCAGCAAGAAATTTTAATTTTAAATGTGTTTCAAAAATTTTAAAGAACAAACTACAAATATATCGGGCTAGGAAACTTGAACAGGAAGGCGGGAGGGAGGAGAAGGGCTGAGGACTTCTGTGTGTTAACAAACGGAGTTTGTCTGGCGCTGTTGGCGTTCGAGTTCATGCACTTGCATGCAGGCTAGTAAATTAGGTGCCGCGACTTTCAAATGTCACGTCGCCACAGGAAAACAATCGAAATAGTCAAACCTGGTCAATAAGAGAGCTAAAATGCTCGGCCATATTTGCTTCTGGAATATCCTGAATCCACAATTTTATCCGAGGTATATTACCGAATTTTTTCACATTTGGGACCTGCAAAAATAAACACATCCAGCTATGAACGCTTGGAACTTGAATCTAAACTCCTGCCCACAACAGCCTGAATGATTTCCGCGTAATGGTCTAACACGTGAACTCACGATGGCCGTATTTTAGCTTTTTCTTATATGCAAGAGGAAAAGGGCGTCGGTTAGGATGGCAGTGTTGCATCAAAGGACCGCATGAACTTCCAGCGCGCATGATTATTTATTTTGCATGAAGACCGATCGTTTTTCTGGTAAGCGGTAGCTCACTAAGAATGCAAATTTGACAATGTATGGGAAGTAAGAACAGAAGGGTTAGAAATCCGCAAAACGCACTCTGCTGTTGAGGCTGCGATAAAATTGAATTATTCTCATGCCTTTATGCAGGAAACTTCACTTCCAGGCTGTATTTAAATCACACATGAATGTAGAAAATCCTTGCAAAGTTACAGCCTCGCAGTAAGCGAAACAGCCGCTTCGCTACAAGTACTTTTGCAGCACCCTAAATCATAGCGCCAATGCAAGTCGGAACTCCTTTTAGGTATACGATTTCCCAGGCGGACAATAAACATTTTGACAATATTTCGGCTATTTTTTCCAACTAGTTTTCGAGTCGGCATGGTGCAAACTGCAGACTTTGGCGTAACTGTACACGTGGTGTAAACATGCGCTATGCTTGGATTTGAAATCCTTAGTTCACACACAGACGGCGAACCTCATTGTAAAATTCCAGCTTTCTAGCTTGCGTGGTTTTCGAAATCGTTCCCTCGCCACAAAATTTGCTACTTTCTTCCAGACGTACGTGACCGACAACATTTTAAGTTGTAAGGATGACATGTTGGGAGGAGGCTTGTAAAATTCCAGTCCACCAGCTTTCCTGGTAGCTAAGTTGAAAGTGGTTGACAAAGTTCACTCGTCCACACATACACACAAGCACGCACGCACACACTGTGAGCCTCTCGACAGTATGCGCCTTTGCTCACTGCAGCAGCGCTATGGCGCTGCGCACCAAAAACGTATAAAAATGGGATGAGAGATTCGATTCTTTTACGATCCAAATCATTTACAAAAGGGGTTCCGACTGCAACACAGAACCTCTGTGCGCTTAAAGCCTTGGTTGATAAATCACGCTTTCAGTACTAGTAATATGGGCTTACAGGTCTTTAAGGTGATTGTTCATCAGTGGGCATCGTAACCTAGTACATTTCTGAACCTCAATTCCCAAAATTATTACAGCACGCTTACTGGCTCCGATAGAAAAAGATTTTATTTGAACTTAACTAATCCCCAAATGGTCATGCACAGGGCTCAGCGCTTTATTTCGCATGCCTGTCACCTGCGAATTTCTGCAACGCCATCCCTAACTTACTGCATTAGGAGATTACCTGCAACTTTATTTAAGCAAATACGGGGTTTCCCAATGACAGTGTAATGTTTGTAATGTTTGCCCTAATATCGTCCATTTCATACTGTCCATTTTAGAATTCCGACTCATGTGCAGCATCCTCTAATACTAAATTCTGCCGTTTCTGGCAGATGATGTCCTGACTGCCAACTGCTCTGAATTTATCAACGTCGCCGGAGATTTTTATGGATCCGACCTGCGCTCAATACTAGTTTATTGGTCAGAGCAGATTTTTCGACCTGGCCATCAGCTGCAATGGCCGATGGTGTTTGTTCCTTGTTTGTAACAAAACAATGAACCACAAGCTTCCCGATAGTGAGGTTAGTTTCTTCACACCTAGTGGAATCAATGTATCCTAACAACTTTATTACTTAAGAATTGCCTGGTGGGCCAAACGAATCTATGAGCACAGAGAATAGAACATTAACAACATAAACAGAATTCTAATCAAATTTAGTCTCCGGAATCGAGCAATTTTAAACAAGTTCCTTGATGCCAGATGGATTAGAAGCCTCTGCCTTTCTCTATTTCGCCACCAGATAGGTAGTGATAATTCGAGAATTCAGAGTACGGAAATTTCCAGCTGCGGCAGCTGAAATGGTGCAGTTCTGTGTAAGGTGGAGAATGGCATTTTTTGAAAGCCGTGAGAAAAACTAAAGCAAAGTTCTTTCCCTCACAGTCCACAGTTTAAAAATCCTCACAAAAGAAAACAAAAATTCATAATCAGCTAAATAATTTAGGTGACATTTTTCTTCTTCCCATATGCTTTTGATAAATGAGATGCTGCCTTAACTGGACAACAGCAACCTAGGGGGAGCGGTGACTGTTCTTACAGAGTGCCATAAGCCAGTAGTGCGACAAAACGTATGTGGATTGAGTAGCAAAGGACCGACCGCATGAAGATACGTTTAAATTTTTGTTGTCTTTCATCCAAACTGATCAAACAAATACTATATTGCTGGAACACCTTTTTAGCAAACGGGAATTCCAGGAGCTGCACACTATTAACTTTCGGGCTCCACATCCATAACCGAGTGAGAGTAGCTAATTTTTCGAAACAATGAAATGCATCTCTAACAGTTTTGTGATTGGTTCAGTTTTTACAAAAATGAATAGCAAACCTCATTTGTGGCATTGATGATTAGCGTTATCCCATGCTTTTGTATATTCTCCACATTCAGATCGCTGACGCCAGAAATGAACAGTCCAGGAACTAATTCCGACATCCTGGCATATTCCGGATTAACTGTGTATCGTACGTGATGCATTGTTGCACACCACTTATGCACTGCAAAATCACTAGCATAAAGCGAAGTTTGAGATGAGACCAACCAACATCGGGGCAAAGCCCCGTAGCACAAGCCGGACCGAGTTGCTGACACATGTACGCGCAGCTTCCACAAAACCGATCAAAATTCCATCAGTTTGCCAATATACTATGCCAAAAGACATATCGTCTGAAACACCAACTCAGGCAGCCAAAGACAGACACCTTTTCATTTTTGAGGAACGCAAGCTTTTTTCCCGAAAAACTGGCCATAAAATTGGTCATTTTTATGCGTTTTTGCATACATGCAAGTTGCAATTGGCTAACACACAGACTGTCCGTGCGATGATGCGTTTTTTGCGCTGTTCCCCGCAGTTTTTGTTGCCTCCGGCATCGGTTTTTTCCGGCA